AAAGGAACGCGATTTTATAACTACTTCAGCTAGAAAGTTACTAATTCAATCATGAAACTGATCAATGATCAGCTGATCGGCTTTTCTCTCTGCGCCAGAAAGAGGGAACCAGCAGATGTCACGCTAAACAACAGCAGCACGTTTAAGCTTGATCAGCTGTCGGTAGAATTTATTTAATGTTAATTTCTAGTATCAGCAGATGTTTGTTGGAGCCACAGCTGTAAAGCTGCTGGTCATTATATCGGTTTGGATATGTGGTAAGAGGGAAACATGAAGATGAAACCAGGATTTGTCCTTACTGAATCATCAGAGCTGAACAGGTGATGGAGAAGCAGGTTTACATTTTAGGTGACATTAATGAGTTGAAGGGAAGAAATGAACTGTTTCTGAGAGACAAATAACACCAGGATCCATACTTTTCTTTCTTATTCTCATTTAAAATGTTGAACTTTTAATAAATATTTATCTGAATCTTACAACCAAAGTTTTCATCTGATGTAAAATGTATAGAAATACATTATTGTATTCAGTAAATATTAAGTCTAGTATATACCCTAGTAAGTTATAGTATTCTTTCCTTTGGGAAGGTACCATCTGTGCAGTCTGCAATTCTGTTGAAGAAAGTTGTTGAATCTATTTGATTACAGGAGAAAAATAATAGATTTCTGTGCATTTGTTTGATACGTGCATTAAATTAAAATCAGTTTTGTCAATTAAGCATCTTGAAACAGAGGGTGGGGGAGTGCTTCCCTATTTTTTCTTTTCTTTTTTTGCTGGGAGTTGGCAACCCTATATGTAATTATAAATTAGGTTGTTTTATATTTTTGCTAAAGACCGTTTAGAATACCAGAATAGGGAGGGTGGTGTAGGTTTAAGTTTATTATAAAGGCTTTATGGCTTTTCCTATAATGCCATGGTGGGCCGGTCACTAGTCAAAATACCTGGGCTGATTTTTTGTCCCAGTCTGAGACTGTCTGTAATTAATTAATAATTAGATGTACAGCAAAAGCTGCAAGTACTAGCTTTGTTTTAGGAATAATAATGAATTCATATTTAAATCTAAACAATTAATTATATTATGATTTAATGACCAATAATTATAAAAACAATTTACTAGTCAAACAGTCTTTTAATACATATGTTTTAAAGGGGATATATTAAGCTAATAATAATAATAATAAAATTGTAAGTTTTTGTTTTTTTATCACAAACTGTATTAAGAATACAAGGCATTTACAATTTACTTTTTACTTTGTTCGCTGTTTTCTCTTTCCTGTTAGACACTGGACTTGATTTCCCTTCCTCTATTTTAGGAGAAATGTGGTTAAAACTTGGGTTCCTTAAAAGACACTATACAAATTTCAATTACTATTATTATAATTACTTTTATTGTTATTATTATGAAGTCTTTCTCTCTTTTATAGCCATACCCTACAACTCACCATTACTTCTGAGATGTAGCATATCACAGTTGCAATAACACAATAAAAGCTACATCATGCTCATCAGTTAAAGGAAAACTTGGCAGCTTTTGTCTAATATTTAAAGGAGAAGTCTAGTTTTGAAATAAAAAAAAAAAAAACAAGAAACAGTTTAAATGTACACAGTCAGCTTTAATTCGAGGGGGCTGAACAAAAATATTCCATTCACAGTTGAGGAATTACATTTACATTTATCTTTTTATGAGTAGCTCCTATTGTCAGAAGCTCAAATATTATTCTACAATTCACTCAAGCGTTATGACAGATGTATGATCCCTTCATTATTTCTTCATAAAATAAGCAGGTACTTCTGTGCAATGACAATAAAGTTTTACTGTCTTCTAAAAGGTCTAGAGTTGATTCCAAGTGTAGTATTTACATCTGCTAGTTGTTTATGTGAATCCACAATGTGTGGACACAGGATTCACACATTAAGTCCAAGTTAAACAGTCAGTCACTAAGATGAAAGCCAAAACAGATCCATCACATTTAACTTTAGGAATATTAGGACATTGGCGGTGGCTAAGGCAACAGCATCTGGAACAAAGAAAAACTGGAAAATTTTTGAAAGTATTGAAGTACAATATTATGGCGTTTTAGAGTCAGACAGTCAACTCAGTTGAGGTGCATTTCCCATGGTGAAGACAACTAATGAACAAAAAACAACTGAAGACTGTTGCAGTAAAGCACTGGGAAACATCAGAAATAAGAAAAAAAAAATTCTTTCCCAATGCAAAGACTTAGGTGTACAGTAGGTGTGGTCTTCTACATCAGCAAAAGACCACATTGGGTGCAGTTCCTGTCAGCTAAAAAAAGGCAACAGAGGCAACAATTTCCATGAGGTCCACAAAGTTCGACAAAGGGTGACTGGAAAACATTGCCTGGTTTTACAAATCCCTCCTTGGTGCTAACTGAATATTGTTTATTGTTGAGTATTGCTGACCGTGTTCTGACCATGACTCTGGTGTGTACAATGAATCTTCTGATAAAACACCAGAGTCACAAAGTTCAAATCATCTGAAACTGGTGAGTTCACTGTACTCAAATGGCCTCAGAGTCACGAGATCATAATCCAATGAATAGAGGACCTTTGGGATGTGGTGAAACAGGAAAATTCCCATCATGAATATTCAGCCAGCAAATGTGCAACAACTATCTTATGCTATCACATCAAATGGACCAAGAAAATGTTGCATCTGTGCTCTGAAGGAAAAGGGAGGTCAAACTTGGTACTAGCACAGAATACCTACCAAGGTGGCTGCTATGTGTCAATAAAGAAATTAAAACAACCAAAACTGCCAACAGTTGTGTAGATCCCCTGCAAAAACTCTCCCTCATTATGAATTCTCATACTGTGATGTTGCCGGTAGATTCGTCTCATTTCAGCAAATCTTGCAGTTGATTTTATTGGATTTGTGTCTGGGAAAACTGATGGCTGTTGCCTTGGGCTCTTCTTCCAAGTGGAAACATGGAAACATGTTTCACTATCACGTGAAGATGAATTTCAAGATGCATCCCAGCAAGTATCCCAGCAGAACAATAACTAACTTATAGTTTAATTGGTCTGCTACTCCAGCACCCACAGGACCCAAAATTCATATATGTAAAAAATATAATACCATCCACTTTTACAGTCTTTTTGTTTTTTGTTACACTGCATACCAATTACCAGGGGCGATAAGCATACCAATGTTAGACCAGCAATAATACAGCTGTAAGTTTTACAACAGTTTCAACACATATGGTGCTTAAACTTAATTATCTACCTATCTATCAAGTTTTTTTCCACAAAAAGATTTTTTACAAAATCTCTCAGTATAAATCTGTACATACAGCAGAAAAATCCATGATGTAATTATTCACAACTCACTCAACAGTCAGTAATTCATGCTTTCTCATCAACATGGCTGTCATGGGACACTATAGTGTTCCCTGAATGGAGCCAATAATGCTGCCATTTCTATCCTGTGCTTTTCCAGCTTGGAAAAGTCAAAAGGCCCAGCACAAAAAATAAAAGTAATTTTAAGGATTAAACTCAGATTTTCACTTCACCATTATTCCATCCATCCGTTCACTTTATTCCACTTATCCAGGGGAACACCAAGCCATTCCCATGCCAGCTGAGAGATATAATTTCTCCAGCGTATCCTGGGTCTGCCCCAGTGCCTCCTCCCAGTAGGACATACCCAGAACACCTCAAGCATGAGGCGCCCAGGTGGCATCCCTGTCAGAACCACCTCAAGTGGCTCCTTTCGATGTGTAGGAGTAGTGGCTCTACTCTGAGTCCCTCCTGAATAGGCGAACTCCTCACCCTATCTCTAAGGGAGAGGCCAACCAACATTTGGAGAAAGCTCATTTACGCTGCTTGTATCTGCAATCTAGTGCTAGGTGAGGGTAGGGATGTAGATCAACCGAAAAATCAAGTGCTTCGCTTTTATGGTGAACTCTCTCTTCACCACAACGGACCAGTATAGCGTCCACAACACTGCAGCCGTAGCAGCAAAAGGTCTGTCAATCTCCCGCTCCCCTCACTTATGAACAAGACCACGAGATACTTAACCTCCTCCACTTGGAACAGTAACTCGCCCCTAAACTGTTGTGGGCACTCCACCTTTTTCCAGATTATGGCCTCAGACTTGGAGGGGCTGATTCTCATTCCTGCCGCTTCACACTTTGCTGCGAACCACTCCAGTGCAAGCTGGAGGCCATCAACTGATGAATTCAACAGAACCACATCATCTGCAAAAAGAAGAGATGAGATTGTAAGACCACCCAACTGGAAGTCTTCCACCACTTGGCTATGCCTAGAAATTCTGTCTATAAAAATTATGAACAGAATCGGTGACAAAGGGCAGCCCTGGCAGAGTCCCACTTATTACCGGCTGTGTGGCCCAAGCACTTGCAACAGTTGTAAAAGGAACGAATGGCCCATAGCAATGGACTTGATGGACAAGTCACCCCTCTCGTCCCCAGACTCTATTTCCTCTACGGAAGATGCATCACTGGGATTAAGGTGATCCTTTAAATATCTCTTCCACAACCTGAAAATATCCTCAGTCGAAGTCAGCAGTGCTCTACCTGCACTATACACAGTGCAAGTAGAGCACCGCTCCCCCTCCTGAGTTGCCTGACAGTTTTGCCAGAAATTCTTGGAGACAGTCCGAAAACCTCTCCAAGCTCCTCCCCCACCTGGGTTTTTGCTTCAGCAACAGCCTTCAGCCATAATTGAAATAAAAAATAAATATATTTTCAAAAATGTAGCAATCAAAAAGCAAAATTGTTTCTGAAAGCTGTAGAATAATAAAAAATAAATAAAAATTTAAAAAAAATAACAATGCCATTCATCAGATTCATCCTTAACTAACTCAGTGAAAGAACAGCCACTCACTCATTTATTAATAAAATAAAATAATTGACGATTTCATTTTTTACATAGATATTTTCATTATACACAATTATTGTCAATGCATGTTTACTGGTACACTCTTATTCCTTATATAAGAAAATATGACCACAAGAGCATTTTTATAATTTATTGATGTAACAGCAGAAACATCAGGCCAGCTCAGCCCCTGGAAAGAGGTTGGTGAGCCAGCCTTCAAACACTGCAGCAGATAAACTTCAGATTTTACTTACAGAGAACATGTTGACCTACCACTCACACTTGATAACATATGCAGACTTTTTTTTAAAACTGATTTTGGGTAATGTTATTATAGTGATATTTTCTATTAGCTATGCCAACTTCATGGTGTGGCAAGTCAAAATGTCTCAAGTAATAAAAATTTGACCACTGGGTACAACATACAACATGGACAGTGCTGGAATAATATTTCTTGTTTGTTTGATGTTTGCTTTTGTGTAAAAGAAAAATAACAATGTAGATCTTCACACATAAACTGTTTAGTGTATAAAATGAATGAGTACCCCCCAAAAATGAAATTAAATACATAATCGATTATTTATTTCCATTGACTTGTCCATGGTCCTAGTGTCCAGCGTAGTCTTTAACATCAGGAGCCACATTTCTGCACGGCTGTCTCTGATGACGTCCCCGGCCCTGCTGCTTCTAAGACGCCTTCATCAGATCCTGGGCTCAGTGATGCAGCTGAGGCTTTTTCTCTTAACCCCTGTCCCGCTCTCTTTCCAGCTAAGATGACAAGAGAAACACATGGGAGTCAGTGATATTTACAGTGTAATGCTCCTGCATAAATCTACACGCACACTCTGTCTTTACCTCTAATACCCTTAATCTCATGCTTAATGATGTAATGTCTTAAGAACTATGTTATATGTGCAGTTCACTGGTAAAAATAAGTGTTGCTTGTTTACTAAATTAATGTTTCGCATAAGTGTAAGACTAAAATGACTCATTAGAATGAAAAGGGGGGAGTGAAAGAAAAATAAAATCACACTGATAATACAGAGGTCTCAAAAACCCGCAAAACACATGTACCAGGCACGACACACTTGGCTTTAAAGGGTTAACGAAGATCTGCGACATCCACAGTCATAGACAGTTTGAACTTTTTTCCTGCTTGCAGTTTATTTCCATTAGTTGGTTATTATCTTACCAATAGCACTACATGGTGTCAGGATGGGCTTCTCCTGTTGCTCTCCTTCAGCGATGGAAGCCCGGATCCTTCTAACCACGTAGATGCTAGCTGCAATATGAAACAACAACACAACAAAACAACACGATTTACTATGAGTATGAGTGTGCTATGTGTAATGTTTTGTTTTGTTGTACATATCTATCTATCTATACGTGTGTGTATTTAAAATATATAATATATAAATATACAGTCAAGCCACATACTGTATATACAGTCACATAGGTAGATCTTATTGTGGAAAAAATGTAAACACCGCGTGGTCGCGAAACGGTTTAACAAGGATTTCAGAAAAGTCTCCTACCTTTTATTAGCAGTCACACCATCGTTTCTGTCCAGTGTCAATCTGTACTTCTCGTAAACTTCTCCGTAACAGGTACACACAGCTTCCTGTGTCCGCGAATGGTTATAAAAGCTCACAACCTATTAATATATCGTGCCGGAGGCGGGGCTTCAAGAAACCCTGCTTTCTGATTGGCTGAGCTGTTACGAAAGCTGAACATGTAATGAAGACGATGTGCGATGAGCAATACCTGTGCAGTGGTGACATAAGAATGATTATACAGAATTGGGGTTGACGTAACATTTACAGGATATCTAATAAAATATAATAATAATAATAATAATCTTTACTTATACAGCAACTTTCAAAACAGATTTTACAGATATAATAATAATATAACTACAAATTCAAAAAAACTAAAAGGGTAGGCAAGCATTGAAGCCAGACACCAAAAGAATACAAATATAAACAAATACAAGCGAGTCTATTGAAATGAGCTTTAAGAAGCGATTTCCTCGGGTGGATCATTTCAAAGTTGAGGAGCCCTGATGGCAAAAGTAGTCACCTCTAGGTTTAACTCTTGATTTTGGAACAGCTGTAAGTGCTCAGAATGTGGATCCAAGGCGACTCATGCTCATATGGGGTCAATAATTGTTGGCAGCTTGGGGCCAAATCCAAGAGACTTTTAAAAGTGGCCAGTAAAATATTAAAATAAATTTTAACATGTGCAGAAGGCCAATGCAGAGAACCCAGGAGAGGGGTGTTGTCTAGTAGATACTAGATAAAACCTTAATCAAGCTTTATAATTACGCACAGTGTGTGGTATATAGGAGTAAATAAAAATCAGGGTGATCCATTTAATAATTTATTGTCATTCACATATTGCAATTTACAGAGCTTCATTTATTCGAATCCAATCCTAACAAACAACATTTAGATCAAGTATTTGTGTCCCAACACATCTGTAATCTAGAATAGAAGCACGCTGAAGTCTACTTGACATCTTTTTACAAGAACACAGCCGTTTCTCATACAGTTGCATTTGTATATTCAATATATACACATAAAATTTCATTTAACTTAAAACTGTTTCCCACAAAAAGAAAAGCACAACAATTTCACAGAGAAACCAGATAAATCTCATTCTTTCATATTACAATATATTTTTTACAACAACAAAAAACAACTTCAATCACCAAGAAAAACAGATGCGACACAGATAGTGAGGGGTTAAATTTATAAGGAATGCTGTGAGTTTATAGAGAGGAAGTTTCAGTTTGTTCACCCAGGACATGAAGAACGATACCGCTGTAGATAAACTGAGGAGCCACTAACGAAATGTTAATATTTTTGTAGGTTCTGCAGCCAGAGTTGTAAACAAAGACGTGAGTGGTATTACGGTCTTCCTCCCATCACACTCTCACAGTTTATTCACTAAATGAGACCTCACACAAAACACAAACATTCACTAGAGGGCTCTAAGGGGACAGCAGGAGATTCGACAGGCAGGACTTAGTCCATCCTGATCTTCTGATTGGTCATCCTGTAGATGATGCTGTCGTAGCCCGGGTCCATGTTCCACAGGTTGTAAGCGATGGCGATGACAGCGAGTGCCAGAACGATCATGAGCCACAGCACGATGTTGAAGACCACGGCGTACTCGAAGTTGTACTTGTAAGCCAGGTTGTAAAGGCTGCCTGGGTTACTCTGAAAAATGTTTGCAGTAGTCAAGAAATTATAAACAGCTATTTGGAACTAGTTTAAAGTGTCAGTGTCCGCAGCTAAGAAACAAAACAGAAACTCAGAATCACCACAAAGTTGAATGAACGCCTCTCGAAAAGAAAAGTAATTTTGCTGCTATTCTCTGCTACATGACGCAGACCTCTAAACTACATGTGTTACAGAAAATGTGCTTGAAATGTAAATGAACCCATTCTAATTTGGTACATTTATGTCATATTCAGCAAGTATCTCCTCTGGCATATATATATATATAAAATCATCATGTGACTCATTATTGCCTTTTTGTTGGCACTAAACAGAAAATCAGAAAGTAAAAGTAGGTTGACCCAGACTTACAATCTGTCTGGATTCCAGGATTGAGCGGGACTTCCTGGTTAAAGGAGCTTCAAAGGCCTTCACTGTAACGACCTCCACCACAGAGCTGTTGCCATAGAGACCATACACATCCTGCCCAAACTGAAATGAAAAAACAAAAACACACACGCACACGGTTAAAATGTGGTTAAATTGTTAGCTGAAGAGGCGTATCGCTTCTTCAGATCTTCTTCTAACCTTCTGAAGGACGGAAGCGAGAAGAGCCGTGGCGTCGCGGTACTGAGGGGAGTCTGGACCATAGAGCCGGCTTAGCTCCTCCAAGCCAGACAGCTCCAACGAGTACAGGTCAGGGGAGTGGTCCTTAGCCAAATGTCTGTGTCTCTGCAGCTACAGGAGGGAAAGAAAAGATTTGCGTCAAACACAACTCTTTTTTCCTTTTTTTTTGTAAGTGGAAAGAATTGCTTCAGTCCGAGGGAACAACTCACCAGAGCGGTGATATCATGCAGCACTTGGACTTCAGACAGGAAGAGCAAATCGGCCTAACGAAAATAAGAATAAAAGGGTAAGAAAGGCAAAGGAAGGAATTTTGGTTAACTAGGGAGTAAGAACTAAGTCTTTTGGTTTTAAAGGTGGCTAAGAACTGACCTCTGCATTTCTGCTGAGGGAGTTGAGGGGAAGAGAAGACAGCACTGAGCCATCCTGGGACAGACGGGCCCGGATCTGCTGCAACGTGACGGGCAAGTCCTCGAACACAGCATTGGCCTTGCCGAGCATATAGAGCCGCTGAAAGAAATGAAAGACAGGTCAAAGTAAATAACTAACAGTGCCTCAAGAGGGATGTCTCAGATAAGAAGTACATCAGCAGACTTTTATTACCTCCTCACTGGGGGCCAGCTGGAGGACTACAGGGGTGTCCTCAGCAAACAAAGAGTGTACAGTCTCTGCAACACTATCCATGGTGAAGGGAACAGGCTGCAGGAAAGAAGATAGCACCTTCATATACAGGTCTACACTTCTATTTATACCAAGATAAAAAGCTGATGCACAAAAACGGTCATACTTACATTCTCCAGGGGATATGAGGCCACGCTCTGAGGCAGAGCCAGACTATCCACTCCTCTCACCACCACAAGAACGTTGGCCCGGGGCCGCTGGAACAACGGACCGGCCTGGAGGCCTGGCCACGATAGATCCTGTGCAATTGGACATGCATAGTAGAGCTTAAGCTGGCGTAATTATGAGCTTAGCCTTCTTCTATAACACTAATAAAAATGTGGAGCATGAGTTGAAGTAACGAATCACCTCTTGAACTGAGAAGCCCATGGTTAAAGCCACAAGGTCAGGAATCTTCTCTCCAGAAACCGGCCAGTCACCTTTCTGGAAGGACACAAACTCTGGAGCCTGCAGCACAGTGAAGCTGTCTCCATGTACACCTGAGGGGGAAAACAGCAGGACTGTAAATCTAAGTGGAAAAGAATAGGGTACGGTTTTGTTTTTGTTTTTTTAAGTAAGACAAAAAAATATCACCACCTACAAATATAATTATTAGCTTAGCTTTCTTTTTGATCCCAATCACCACCAAACTTCACTGGTTATTTTAGTTTTGTTTGAAGTCACTATCTGTTGCCCGGTGCACTTTCTGTATCCAACTGATTGCCCAATTTTGTATTTTAAAACGTGGCCATTTTGCAATCACAAATTCCCACAAAAGGAACAAAAAGAAGCGTCACATGGCAACATGCACAAGTTTTTGAAAGAATGGCACATGTATTACTTTTTCTATGAATTATTTAAAAATTAAATTACAACGAATTTTGTCCAATTCTGTCCGGAAACTTCTTTTGCTCCTGTACTGAATACTGACTCAGTGAATACAGCATTACTTAAAATATTTACCATCTAGCAAGAACTTTAGCTATCACCCCTCAGGCTAGTTTAGTGAGTTAAATGACCCAGTCAGGTTACACAGGAATACTTTCTTGTATTGTACCATTTATTTTACCTGTCACAGATACAGAGTGATTTTTATCAACATAATGACCATTAAGTCGTGAGTTCTCAGAATCGGCTCTTTGAGCACAAGAATGAGAACATCACAGAGCGCAAGTATGGCGAAGCTCGCGGCTCTCCAACGGGAGATTG